GCGAGGGGACCCGCCGCGCCCGCCGCCCCGCCCCTCGGGACCTGTTGGCGTGGGGACCCGCTGCGGCGGCGGCGGCCGGGGCTCCAAGGGTCAAGCAAACTTCGTGCCAGGATCCTGCCACGTCGGAACCCGGGTGTGTCGGGCCCAGATGCCTCCCGCCTAATTAGGCTTTTCCTGGAGCCTAAGAATGGAGGGTGAAACTGACGCCTACCTTAGACTTTTATTTCCTTCTCTCTCAAACTCATCGAAGAAGTATTTCTGGTTTTGGAACCCCACCGTTACCCGTTTTTCTGATTTTTAGAACATGTTAATAGAACTTTGCTAAAGATGGTAAACGACATAATGAAGATATTTAAACTAAGTCTGTTATTAAAATCAGAAAATGACTTTAATTTGAGAATTTGGGGTTGTAGAAAAATCTGTTGCTTCTTTTTATTGTAATTTTTTTCTTTGAGTCTGTGGCTAAAATACATTAGATTAAAGACACACCCTGCAATTAGACTTGTTTGAATTTAACTTCTACTATTTATAGCTGAAGCCTAGCATACGTGTAGTTTAAACATACGGAGCAGTTTGTTTGTGTCAACTATTTTTCTTTTCACATTGTTCAACCCATTTTTTTTTTTTATGTAGAAATTTCTCATAATAGCAAATCCACACCCAAAGTATGTTTAATTCTCACTTTGCTAATGTTTTAAAATGTATTTGAAATTAAACATTGGACTTACAACGCCTTAGGCATACGTACAGTTTCAAAAGAAGGTGCAATTAAAAGCTAAAACAAAAAAATACCACAACATACAAGGTCATAATTACTCATTCAACCAGGGCATTCCTGCTTTTCTCAAAAGAGCCTCACCTACCCTCTTAATTGTATCCGTACAGAGAAATAAAGCCCTAAATACTGTTTAAACATTAGAGTAGGCACTGCTGTCTGCATTTTAAATATTAATTAATTTTCATTGGTTATTAGGCAGGTGTTGTCAGACTATCTCTATTCTTACCTCTAGGGAGAAATGTGACATGTTTTTGTTAGCTAGAGTGACAAAATGCCTCAGTTTGTTTGTAAAGGGGATGAGTGCTTTCCAGTATTAAGATAACGGGGCCTTAAAATAATCAGGCTTTCCTTTAGATCTAGCATCTTAGGCTTCCCTTGTTGCCTTGAATTTTCAGTTAAGCCATCCAGCTTGTGATTAAACTGAGGCTGATGAGTATCCTAACTTCAGTTCACCCTGAAGGTTAGGGACAGCATTGTTACTCCAGTGACCTGCCTCAGCACACCTGTGTCATCACATTTCCCCACATTCTCATTCATCATGAGATGTTTATCTTTTTTTTTTTTTTCTTTCATGTAGTTTGTAAGGGTTTTCTAATTAGAGAGGAGTCCATTGTCCTTGGTTTAGCTCTGATTTACCTACTTTTTTTTTTTTTTTTTTTTTTTGAGATAGGGTCTCTCTATGTAGTCCAGTCTGTCTTTGAACTCATTATGTAGCCCAGGCTGGCCTTGGACTGCCAAAAATCCTCCTGCCTCAGGCTCCTGAGTGCTGGGATTACAGGTGTATGCCACTGTACCTGGCCGTGCCTACATTTCTGTGGGTCCAAGTGATGCTTGTCTCCCTGGAGACTTAGGCCTTCATGTATATTAAGATGCCATGTGGATTGAAATTTTTAATCCTTTCTTGGTATTTCATAACCATGGTTGATTTTCTGAGCCAACTTGAACAACGTTATTTATTCTTCTGATCTTTTATTATATTGGCTTAAAGCATATTTTATAAGGCAATGACCCAGTGTCTTCCATTCATTTGCAGTGCTCTAGATTTTTGGTTTCAGGCATGTTTCTTTAGCAGGAATATTTTTAAAACTGAAATTTTTGGTTGAAAAAAAAATTCAGTTTTAACTCAGTACCCTCTAGTGTGCGAATAATGGTGAAACAAGTTTTGCAAAACAGTCCTTATCCTTAAAACATGAATGTTCTTTATTACTTTTGAAAATTAGCCTTAACACTAGATTCAGTTTATGACAACAATATGAAAATGATGTTATTGTACTATTTAGCAATTTATATTTTTAAGGCTAATTTTCTGCCAGTTGTCTGTCTCACAGAGAAAAGTACTTTCTGTAAAATTATATTGTAATCCTAATTAAGTATTTCATTGGAGGCCTTGAGGTAGGAACTTGTCAGATTAAATTTCTCAACCAGTGGGAGTCTCTGAAATGTCATTGTACAGTATTGCACTTTCAATGAGTTCTCAATGTATTTAAGGGAAAAATTTTGAAATATTTTTCTGAGGGGATTTCTATCGGATTAATTGTCAAGCGAAAGTTTGAGAATGAAAAAGAATTCGGTCCAGCTCTGTTTTCACCCTTAACTTTTATGGCTGAGTTCTGCATTTTGGATGGGAGTCTGAAAAAATTATTAGGCAAAAACATAGCACAAGTTATTAACTTATTTACTTGTTTATTTTTACTTTGCAACAGGGTCCTTCCAAGTTGTGCAGGCTGGATTTCATTAATCATCCTCTAGCCTTAGCCTCCCTAACAGCAAAGATTTCAGGTGTGCACCTGTATATATTAATGGTATGATTGAAATATGCAGGGAATATTACATTTCTAAAATTTATTCTAGTAAGAGACATACTGCCTCAGTGCTCCTCCTCAAACCCCTCCCCATAAGCATACTTACCCCATCATTCCTGCCACTTTGCTTGACCCACTGTATTCTTTGATCAGAACTCACATGTATGTACAGATACACACAGGTACAGAAGTAGATTATAATTTACATCACATGTATAAAACAAAAGATATAAATATACACAGGATCTTTGCTCAGCCTGGGTCTACATGTAGGTTTAGGCATTAGGAACACTTTCCTGAAAGAGGCAAGATGGCAGTTGAGTCTTAGGACCCATCAGGAGACCTAGAGGGACTCCTGAACCTGTACTCAGCCCTCAGAAGCCAGAGGTGGGAGGATCACTGGAATCCAGGAGTTTGAGTCCAGCTTTGGCAACAAATGGGACTATCTCAAAAAAAAGTTACAAAAGTAAAAACAAAAAAGAAGGTACTCTTAGAAATGAGGAATGCAAAAGAATGACACTGGAAAAACAGTGAAGTCTTTTGTTAGAGTATAAAAGTTTGATTCATTCAGTTATAAATTCAGAAGAAAGCAAGAGTCAGATTTCGTGAGACAATTTTAAGGAGCATGGATTCTAGCTTGAGGCCTATGGAAAGTTGCTAAAAATCTACACAGAGAAGAGTGATTCCAGTTAACATTTTTATTTTTTATTATTTTTATTCATTTGATACAGGGTCTCGCTATGTAGTTTGGACTCGTAGTGATCGTCCTGTCTCAGCCTCCCCAGCACTGAGATTACAGGCATGCACCACCATGCCTGGGGTTCTGGGCCCGGCACGGTATGTGGTACCAGGGATTGAACCTGGGTCCTTGCATTTGTCAGGCAGGTGCTTAGACTATGTGCTATCTCCCCAACCTTCTAGTTCACATTTTTTTTTTTTTTTTT